GGAAAGGGTTAAACCAGGTGGCTTTTTGGAGGCAAGGATTCTGAGGCTCCGTCTAACATACTTTGGACATGTTGTAAGGAGGGACCGGTCCTTGGAAAGGGACATCATGCTTGGTAGGGTGGAGGGACAGCGCAGGAGGGGAAGGCCCTCTATGAGGAGGATTTATTCAGTGACTGGGGTAGTCGGGATGGGTGTGTCAAAGACAGTGTGATTGGCACAGGACAAAGCACAGTGTAGGGCTGTTGTACATAGGGTCGCTATGAGTCGCAAGCAACTCGACGTCACATAACAATACCACCACCACCACCACACATTACATACAATATGGTGGTGGTGGTTGTTAGGTGTCATCAAGCCGAGTGTTACTCATCCTGTGCCAATCAGCTCTGCTACACTTGAGCCCACTGCCACAGTCACTGTGTCAATCACTCCATTGAGAATATTCCTCCTTCTCCCTTATCCTCCATCTTTCCAAACATGACATCCCCCTCTAAGGAACAGCCTCTCCTAGCAATATACCCAAAGTATATAAGATGAAGAGACGAATTGTACTGGGAATGTCAGCTGTGAGGGACCTCTCACAGAGCAACGACGTCAGGCTAGACACTAAGGTGTGCCTGATCCAGGCTATAGCCTTCACAATTACGTGCTACGCATCAGAGAGTTGGACAGTGAATGGGTCTGATAGAAAGAGAATTGATGCCTTTGAGTTGTGGTGCTGGAGAAGTGTTGAATATACCATGGACTGCTAGGAGAACACACAGGTTTGTCCTGGAGAGGGTGAAGCTAGAATGCTCCTTGGAGACAAGGATTCTGAAGCTTTGTCTGACATACTTTGGGCATATTGCAAGGAGCGACTGGTCCTTGGAGAGGGACATTATGTTTGGCAGAGTGGAGGGGCGGTGAAGGAGAGGAAGACCTTCAATGAGATGGATCGATTCTGAAAGTGGAGTGGTGGGAATGAGTGCATTTGAGATGGCTAGGTTGGCACAGCATAGAACGGCGTTTAGAGCTCTTGTACATAGGGTCACTATGAGTCGCAAGCAACTCAATGGCACATTAACAACATAACAGGTGAAGCTTTGCCATCCTTGCCTCCAAGGTGTACTCTAGTTGCCCCTTCTCCAAGACATTAGCTGTTTATTCTTTTGGTAGACCATAGGATATTCAATACTCTTCTCCACCACCAGAACTCAAAGGCATCGATTCTTCTGTCATCCTTAACCACTGTGCAGCTCTCAGATCCATACATAGCAAGTGATTAAAAATGCCATGGCCTGAATCAGGTGCACCTTAGTCTTCTAAATGGCATCATAGCTCCTCGGTAATTTGAAAAGGTCCATGACATCAGACTTGCCCAGTGCAATCTGTCTCCTGTTCTCCTGTCTGCTGGTGGCATGGTGGTTGATTGTAGATCCAAGCAAAATTAAACAGTTGACAATTTCTATCTTTTCTTCATCTACCATAATGTTACTGATCAGTCCACTGGTAAATATTTCTGTCTTCTTGATGTTAAAATGCAATCCATACTGAAGGTTGTAGTCTTTGACCTACTCCAGCAAGTGTTTGAAGTCGTCCTCACTTTCAGCAAGCAAGGGTGTGTCATCTGCATGATACAAGTTAGTGAGGAAACTTCCTTTGATTCTGATGTCCCATTCTTCTTCACAGAGTCCAACTTCTCCAACAATCTTGACATGCATCTTTCCTGATTTTAAATTATGCAGTGTTCCCTTGTTCTGTTCAGACAACAGCCTCCTGGTCTAAGTATAGGTTTCGTATGATCATAATTAATTGTTCTGGGATTCCCATTCTTTTCAATGCTAGTCGTAGTTTGTTATGATCTACACAGTCAAACACCTTTGCACAGTCAATAAAGAAGGGAATAAGGGAGACAATACATCAGACATTAAGATTTAAAGAATTTTCAGCAAGGATAAGTTGAATGGAATAAGGTTTATTTCTAGAATCAATCAAACAGGGGGGGGAAAAGTCCAGCAAATTTATTTTCTTCAAATTCTCAAATACAGTAATGCTTTTCCATAAAGTACATTATGATAATGTATCTGTCTCAATCTTTGGACATCAGGTGTGATGTAAAGCCATACATTCAATGAATAATCCACATGTGTCACATCTCAGAAAAGGAGTCTCTGTGAAGATCACGGTCAATTCCATGAACAGCAAGTTATTAGAACACAACAACTGGGAAATTACTCAAAATGGCTCTCTTAACATGCCAAAGGCTTTCAATCAAAAAAATAGCCTTGCTGGAATGAAGAAGAAATATTTCCAGTATAATTCGGCGCAAAATGATATATCAGTGCCTCTTCCTCTTCAACTTTGGAGTCAAAGTGATGATTATTTTTCTGAGCTGCAAGAAAAATAGTTTCTTTTTAAAAATGACTGGATAAAAAAAATGTTTAAAAGGTTACCTTATAACATTTCTTACTGCAGTAGAAAAATAAAACCTAGTGGAGATATGCTTTGCAAAATGTCCCCCCATAGTGCAGTTACCCACTGTGCCAGCAAACGTGTTTTTCCAGCATTGGATCTAACGTGGCTCTCGCTTCCCCCTGCCCTCACCCACTTCCTATGTGCGTCTGTGCACAAAGGGTGGTGCAAACCCTTTTATGGGATGAAAAAATAACAGTACAAAGTCCTATTGCTCAAGAAATTTAATTAAGCAACCTAACACAAACACAGAACCAAACTTTGTAAAATGTTTACAGAATACATATTCACAGAGACAAGAAACAGAGGTTAGCGAATGGTGCAGGAGGGAAGTGAGGCAAAGGGCATTTTTCACAGGAAAAGCAGAGCTATGAAATCCAGGCAGCAGCAGCATGGCACAGTGCAAAGTGAGGTACTGGCAAAGTGTGAACATTTGGGATAGGAGCGTGGACTAATAATGTCAAAATAGAAACTGGTTTTATGAAACATCTGACATTTTTCCAATGAAGCATGCTACTGTTGGGGGTTGTCATGGAACTGGTCCTGAGTCACAGTGACACCATGTGTGGCAGAGTAGAAATTGACGCAGCTTTCACCCCTGTTACCTTTCGAAACAGATTGCCAGGCTTGTTGCCCTGGGAACCCCCGAGCATGCTCCACCCTCAACTCTTCTGTTAGGTCGAATTTGTAATCATTTAATCCTAACCCACTACAAATGTGTCAATTCTGATTCCTAACAGTCTTACAGGTCAGTGCAGAACTAGCCACAGGGTTGCAACAGAGCTCTAGAGGCTTAACGAAAAGAAGTTGCATCGCAAACCCAAAGGCATGCACGAGGTTCACGTCCACCAGCTGCTCCAAGGGAGAAAGATGGGCGATCTTCTCCCACGCAATTTACAGCCTCTGGAAACCCGCCAAAAGATCAGCTATGAGTCAGCTGACTCAGTGGTACATAACAACAGCAATCTTTATGGAAGCAGACTGCCACTAAGCAACTGGTAGCAGCAAACTACATAAAGACAAAGTAGACAGATTTCTTAAGCTGAGGGGAATAGGAGTGTACTGGAGAGACAGGGAAATGGTGATTAATTTTATAAAACATAATAAATGGGAATGATTGTATGAAACACAATGTGAAGGAAGGATAGTGTGAAACACAATTTATATAAACTTTGTAACCAATGTAATTTTTTTTAAAAGGGGGTTCTTTTGGTTAACAGTGCAACAGGCTTTGGGCAAGCCGCTGTTATTCTCAATCATGCAGCTGCTTATTTATTGGAAAGTTTTGTTTGTTTGTTTATTTGGGGTTGTTTGTGGTTTTCTTGGGTTTACCCCCCTCTAAAACCATGATTTGAACACATGTCCTTGAACTAATACTATACATGGGAGTTCTTTTGAGTGTCGTTTGCTCTATCCTGAAACTATTCACTCCACCGAGCATAATTCCAGGTAAGAACACAGGCTCCAGAGGAACCTTCTGACTGCAGAGACAAAGCAGGAAGGTGGATGGCAAGAGATTTAAGGCAACCTTAGAGATGGGACTCAAGGCTTCCAGGTAAACGACGGCACATCTCATCAGAGCGACACTCTACCTTTTGCCAGTTACATCCGTTCTGCTGTCTTATACTCACATCACTCAACCCTCAATTTTTTTTACACAAACATAAAACAGCATGAATGCCTGTACTTTCATCAATTAAAAAATCAATACTTAATAGCTTTTACCAATGTGCAAATGCCCATACCTTAAAACACAAGGCAGATGGGTTACAGTCAATTTATCGGTGTTTTTTTAAAAATACTTATTTCTCACAGAATTTTATAATTTAATCATTATTCTCAATAAGAAGCATAACTGGGAGTAATTTAAATAAATAATTTTAAGGAGTGAATAAATGTAGAGCACAATATTCTTGGTGTTGCTGTTAAGAGACTTCTCTCCACATTAGTGGATATATACTGTTACTTGAAAAAAATTAGCCTGATTTTACCTCAGTGTCCAAGATCTCAACTGTGTAGCTTTTATATCATTTAATAGTCTGGGGTTGTTTTAAAAAATTTTTTCATTTCTCTTTTTAATTTATTTTATTCTTGTTGTGTACCATTCAAGTCAGAACTGACTGGCACAGGAGGAGATTGCCCCTCCTTCTCCAGCGGAGCATCTGGTGGATTCAAACTGTGCGCTTTTGGGATTGAAGTAGAGATTCTTGCCACTAGGCCAAAAAAATTACTTTTGTTAACAAAAAAAAAAAATTGTCAACAGATAGAGCTTACAGAAAATTTATAGAAATATTGAAAGGAAGGTAATTTCCTTCCAAAATACATTAGAGCATTGACATGCTTGTATCTTACCTTCAGAAACAAAGAACTGTGCTAAATAAAATGCAGTCTTCACAGCATTAGACGAATGGGAAATTCTGTCATCTTTCCACTCATAAGGGGGTTTCTCTGGATGCCACTGGACGCCATATATTGGATACTTACGTCCTGCATAAGACACCAGGATGTTACAATTGTTTCCTGTCTATATAAATCATTATGTCAAAATGAAATTGCACTTATTTTTCTTAGACCTAAACGAAAGAATTTCTATTTCACTGATTTTTTAACCTTTTGCACTAGAGGGCTGGAAAAAGTGAGAAAATTATTCCACAAGAGGGACTGACTTGGTAGCTGCCTGTGGCTGAGCCCATCACGGGATGTGTCTGTTTTAGAGGTAAACCGAAGGCCTCTGTGCACTGGAGTCAGCTCAGCATCAACCAACAACAGTCTTCAACACAAGCTGCCTTCCCTATGATCACAGTAAAATATTTCAGTCTTGAAATACAGCCTAGATCAACAGTGCAGTGCACTGCGGAAATGACACGACTTCTCCCATGACAGGTCTCTGTTTCCCCTTCACACCACATTTTAACGCCCTCTCAAAATGACTTGCTGGCATGCAAATGAGCCGCTCTGTGTGAATGAGGTGTCTCTCTTATTAGTTTCTTGTGGCTTTTGTTTTAAGCATTTAAAGGTTTATATGGAAAGTGTGTTCAAGTACTTTCAGAATCCTCAAAGATCTTTAAAACCAAAATGATATAATCCCTAGGATTTGCTTCAAATAAATAAATAGTGTCCGCTGTCCAGCATCCTAGATAGCACCTGTCAGATTTTCAATTGTGTCAATCTGGTGACAATAGGGTGATTGTTTCATTTTGATTTCCGTTTATAACAACCAGGCCAGTATTCACACTGAGTAACTTATCATAAGTTCATAACAAAACCCAAATCCACTGCTGGGGAGTTGATTCCCACGTACTGCAATTCTACAGAACATTCCTCCCAGTTTCTAAAGTTGTAAACTTCACAGAAGCAGATTGCCACATCTTCCTCTTGCACATTCAAATCACCAGCGTTTTACACAGGTTGTTGTGTGCCATCCAGTCAAACCAATCCGTAACTGAACTTCCTGTAAGCTTTCAGAGGCAGTAAATCACGCCGGAGAAGAATACCCATCTTTTGCCTGCAGAGCAACTGCTACAGCTGAACTGTGTGTCTCTGGGTTGGCATCATAATTTCTTACCACTAAGCCACCAGAGCACCTTTAGATAAGAGTCAGACCTTTAGTCATTATATCACCAGAGCACCTTCCTGTATGTTTCTAAGTTTTTCAAAATTTTTTATTCATTTTAATAAATTATTTTCTTAAATCATAGTTGTACTTTATAAATACTAGACATCTACTCTTTTGTGAGGACAAATTCTTAAATTTAATTAGGACAAATGTGTCAGTCTTTTTCTTGTGGGTGTTTTGGTGGGTTTTTCTAAATTGTTTTTCTTTTTCGGCTTTAAAGACTCCTTCCTGGCCCTGCCAGGCAAGAGCCACACAAAGAAGAGGAAGAGAGATGGTGAAATACAGCACAGGCACAGAAGCCTGTCAGCTTACCGCAGTAATAAAGGTAGTTTTTCACAATGAGATGGAGATAAAAAACTTCAAATTTGATGAGGATTCAGAGTCATATTTCTATCCCTGCCTCTATGGCTGTAACTTCTACATCACTAAAGATCTGGAGACTAAGGAAGGTTTGGAAGTGTGTCCAGGCTGCTCTCTTATTATAAAAGGGACTTATGACAAAGACCATTTTATATGTGGAAGACAGCCCCAGCTTTTTCCACCAAGACTAAGGAATCCAAGTCCAGAATAGATGGGAACTAGCTGAGATGGGAAATCCACTGCAATATGACAGGCCTCTCGGGGGCGCAGCTTTCTATTTATTCCCTTAGAGTGGGGTCTTTTCCTTGGCTGCCATGTTCATCTTTAATTAGAAAAGCCAGGCAGGACGTGACATGCCTCATTTTCATGTTTATAACTTTAGACTGCATACGTTCTTAGTTTTTCATCTGAATTTTAAGGGAAGTAATCTCAAATCAGTGCTTTCTTTCCCTCACACCTTACACCTAATTTTTTCAGTATTTGGTAATAGCATCATCTACTTCAAAGCCATCAGTATTTCAAAACAAAACAAAACAAGAGGATTGCATATTTGGGTTGGTAATTAAGATTATTAAAATGAGTCCCTTTTTTGAAATGAGTTATTTTTCTTGTTCTGAACTTAAGAATGTTAGATTTGTTGGCAAGACTATACTTCTAGATCAGGCACAAACCTAGGGTCCTAATTTCTTTCATTATTAAAATATTTATGTTCTTCTTTCCTTACATAAAAGAATACAGATATTCCCTTTTATTTGCTCTAAAATCATGCTCTTCTATTCAGGTCTTTGAACTACCTCAAATTTCTTTATCATATGCTGTTGTTGTTGCTATGTACCATTAAGTTAGAACCAACTTAAGGCTGACCCTCCAGCAGGTTTTCAGAAGCTGTCAATCACATAGGTGAGGGCCCACCTTTCTCCCATAGAGAAGACGGTCGATTCAAGACCTGTACCTTTGGCCAAGCAGTGCAACTCCTTACCTGATAGGCCACCAGAGCTCCCCTGACAAAGGGAATATTATTCCCTTATTTTCCAAGAATCACAAAATGTCCTAACACCCTTTATTAAATACATCTTGTCTCTTCTCCAAAGACATTCTGGTAGCCTAGCAGTGGTAAGGAGTTGCATTACAACCCAAAGGTACGCAGTTCGAGTACACCAGTGAGTGGTTCTGAGGAAGAAAGGAACACAATCTTCTCCCATGCGATTTTACAGCCTCTAAAAACCCACTGGAGGGTGAGCTAAGAACAATCGATTCTGACTCGATAGTACATAACAACTACCACCTTTCTCCTGAAAAGTTCTGTTTTCTATGTCTGTTGTTATCATTTATGGTACTTTGCTTACCAACCCCCCACCCCGCCCCCACCTCATTCATTCATTCATGGAACTTTGTTTCCTCCTGCATTAGTGCTTTGGGGCTGTCACTTGCTCATTTCCTATAAAAACCTTTAAAGATATTCCTTATGTTCCAAGAAAAACACAGGTTCCTCTAGAGGGAGCTATCTGCATTTGCTTCCACCATGCACTTGAAGACACTACCAGTCTGAGAAAACTTTAAATAAAGTCTTTGACCTGAGACTTCTCCAACTGCCCAGCTACAGTAATACAGGCCACATGAGGAGGTAAACTTATGATTATTAATTCTCATAGTATTGACTATTTCCATCCACTGTCTTAGCGCTCAGATTCAAGACATGCAATTCTCTGTGCCGTGCTGCTGACAGGCATCTCAATTTCGCTTTCGCTCACTATTACACTGAAATTATAGACTCTCAGGTCCCAGTCCACCAAAGTACTCTCTGAGGAGGCAGGGACAGAGCTCTGATTCCAATTCTGATCCCGTAACAATGCTGGCTTCCATCCTTTACCTAACTCTTGGGCTTCAGGCCTGCATATTCTCATTTTCTTGCCAGACTGTCAATGTGTTTAGGAAGACTGTTTTTATAGTCAACCACCATTTATGTTGTTTTCATATGGAAAAAACAGGTAACAGTACTTAATCTGCCATATGATAGAAGTCATTTCGTCCACTTATCAAAGGAGCTCTGGTGGCCGACTCAAGTAGGAAGCTACATTGTCAGATAATCCAAAAGCAGAAGGTTTAAATCCACCAGGAGAAGAAAGATGAGTGATCTCCTTTCCTGAGACTTAGAGCCTCTGAAAATACACTGGAGGGTCAGCTATGAAATCAGTCCTGACTCAAGAGCAGTGAGTTTTCTCCATCCATTTATTCTTTCTTTCCTTTCCCTTGTTATCCCACTCTAGAAAATGACACAGGAAACTACAGTAGGAATACACACAAAATATGTCTCTATCCCCAAATATGCCTTAACCTTATGGCCTCTATCTTCCAGACTCAAAGTAACATAATTTTATACTTAAAAATACACAGATACACATAATAATGAATAAATACGAGTAAGTGAAATTAAGTGTACATGCCAAAGGGATACACACCTTCCATGGATGAAATAAATTCAATCTTTTTATCGGAATTTGTAGTTAGCACTTTGAAAAACTCTTTCAACTTTGCATTTTCTGTAAAATTCTGTAGTACAAAAAAGAAATGAAAATTAATACTTCAGTAGTCAAACTAAATTGATTCATGTCTTCGGACAGTATACCTTCATGGAGAGACTCCACTTGTGAAAATTTGCAGTCAGAGGTTCCACAGATAATGCCATCATCAATTCAGCAGGAAACTTCTGGAACATTCTACCTTGATATGTTGCTGAAGTGATTAAGCACAAGAAAATGTAAAATCCAAGCAAGTCACTTATCTACACTCAAAGAAAGGTCATGATTAAGATATAATCAAAATGATTCAATAAGCAAAAGATATAATTTCCACAGAAGACTTCTAATCAAGCACAAAATGTTTTTCAAATATGCTACAGATTGAAATACTTTTCTTTAAGAATATTAATAAATAAAATGTGTCTGGTGTGAGAATTAATTAGCAAATCAGCCATAAGTGTAGGCAAACAGCAAACCCTGAGTTCCCCAGGCAGTTCTAAAAGACACAGGGAAAAGTTTCCATTTGTATACATATCTATGTATGCACAACTTTCAACATATTGTTAAAGAAGCTTAAAATGTTAAAGAAAATCAACATTGTACAGACATTAAAGTTTCAGGACAAGAAATTTCTGCTCTGTAAACATACCCTACAATCAACATACTTTATTGGCCAACAATCAAGGCTCTAGGTTCTGACAGATAGATTAAAATACCAGAATTTTAAAAAATCCTGACAATGCTGCAAGCCCTGATACCAGCTATCTTTAAACCAGGCCCCTTCTTGTTAATATCATCCCTGAGAACCCCAGTTGTTGCTTCTGTTATGTATTATTAAGTCCAAACTGCCTCACAGCTGACCCGTCAGCGGGGAGATTGCCCATCTTTCTCTCATGTAGCAGCTGGTGGATTCGATCCTTTGGGATTGCAGCGCAGTTTTTTACCAGTAGGCCACAGACCTCTCTGAGAGTCCCAGTGCTCCTGAAATATTCCATTGCTGTACAAACTAGGTTGTTACCATGGACAACTAAAAATCCTAAAAATGACTCACTGTCATCAAGTCAGAAGTGATTCATGGCTGAGCCGCCGATGGGTTTTCAGAGGCTGTAATCACCTGCGAGGAGACTGCTCATCTTTCTCCATGGGAGCAGTTGGTGGATTTGCACCACTTGTCCCTGGGCAGTGTGATTCTCTTACCACTAGGCCACCAAAGCACCCTCAACAACTATGTAGACGGGGTATCAACCAGGTCAAGGGATGTCTAATCAGTTACGAGATCACAAAACTAATGTACTTTAATGGCCAACACACCGGCTCCAGAGTCAGACACACAGATTTAAATACCATCCAAGGGTTAAAAAACAATCGACAGGTGAAAGACATCTTCCCTGAAGATTTACAGCCTTGGGAACCCTACAGGCCATCTCCAGCCCACCCAATAGTTGAAATACAGTCCACAGCAATACCTTTTAGCATAATGCTTACAGCACATTATCTTATTTAATCCTTTTAAATAATCCAAATGAAGAAACTGGAGCTAAGGGAGGTTAAATGATTTCCCAAGATCACAACAACAAAGCCAGGGCTCAACACTAGGCCTAGTTTCAGAGTTCTTGATCCACACATGGTCTAGATAGCATTAGAAGCAATGAGATAACAAATTTTAAAACGTCTTAAGACATTTTTTCAAAACTGAGTGCAAGGGAATGATGCACATTTTTGGCCTGCATAAATAATTTAAGAAATATCATATAAAGACAATTCTTGAAAAACAGAAGGATAACCAATGAGATTTATATGGGATATACAAAGAGGGAAGGAGAAGGGGCAGTGGGTCTGAGGGTAGGAAGGGGGGAAATTACGAGTTCGCAGAGTTTGTTGGATGGAGGGAGGAATCGGGGGGGGGAAAAACCCACAACAATGTACATGAATGAAATACAATTTAAGAAAAGAAAAAAAATGATAGACTACTTAAAAATCACTTGTATACAACCAAAAGGTCAATAATGACTTAAAAGCAAAGATGGAAATATAATGGGGCAGGGAAACTAGAGTATTAGAAATGGAGCAAAGAGATTATAGCTAAAAAGGATCTCATCAAATGTACCTAATTTCACAGAACCATTTGTGCAGAGATTATCATATGGCACCATAATCCAGTGTTTAAGCTTTCACAAAAAAATTTAGTGATTTATTTTAAAATCAGTCCTTATAAAAATGGAAGAAATTAAAAAAAAACATATAAATTATGGTCATTTTTAAACTTTGTAACCTTGCCTATTACATATTTTAACTTCCTAATCTTGCCCATTACATCTTTCCAAAGACTGGAAATGGAATCCTTACCTCCAGTGAAGTTCAGTGGCAGCGATATATGCTCTGTATCTGTGAGTGTCAGCAAGTTCTCGCCACTCACCAGGTAGGTGAGCTCCTCAAAGCCAAGGCACGTGCCCCACACTGGGAAATAGTCTCCATTATCAAAACTCTGCATAGCGAGAGAGAAATAAAACTTGATTCTATACTTTTCAAAACAAAGATTAAACATTGGGCTTTTCATTAAAAGGCAGCACCTTGAGTAAAATACACAGATTTCAGAGAGATTTTCGATGATTCATCATGGGTTATCTTCGTTCATCAGTCAGCTACAAAATCATTATTAAGGAAATGATCGCTAGAGAACATATAAACATTGAATGAAATGCCTATTTATAAATCTAAAAATCTCATAATCTTGTATAATTTTGTAATTGTAAGTACACTCACTGGCTCACAACTTTTAGCAACAGTTGCATTAAACCACCTTTCACTAATTAGATTAAAGTCAGAGGAAACCCAGAATCAGGAGGGGTAAGAACAATAAAAAAAAAAAAGAAAAGGCTGAGCAAAAGTCAAATTTTCATAGGGTAAAATCTGACAGTTAAAAAAGTTCAAAAGTATTAAGCTTTTCAATCTGAGTTACAGCACTCTGGGTGTATAACTGGGACAAAGTATTCTAGAGACTGAATTTCCTGGTTAACTGAATATTTAAGCCATTTTTTTGGTGACAATTGCAAAATCGAACTTAAATAGTAACTTTCTAAAAGGAGCTGCTGGTTGGTAGTGACCTCTGCGCTAAATGAAAGGTTGGTGATTTGAATTTGCCTGCTGACACCTCGGGAGAAAGGCCTAGTGGTCCACTTCCACTGACATACACAGAGCACAGCTCTACTCTAACTCACGCAGGGCTGCTGTCCACTTCCACATGAACAGAGCACGGCTGGTCCTACTCTAACTCATGCAAGGCTGGCATCCACAGAACCCAGATCAATGGGAGTTGGCCTGGTGTTTGAGTTTTTTGTTTGTTTTAGCTTTCTAAAACCAAGGGGATTTCCAAATAGATTATAGACTCTAACAATCATTTTAAGTGTGAACTTTGGATTGTTTTTTGTTTCTCAAAAACAGAACAAAAAGATTGTATTAATTCTGATACATCCCTCACCGAGGGAGGATTTTAATGAAAGGGTTAAACCGGGTGGCTCCTTGGAGGCAAGGATTCTGAAGCTCCGTCTAACATACTTTGGACATGTTGTGAGGAGAGACCGGTCCTTAGAGAGGGACATCATGCTTGAGAGGGTGGAGGGACAACGCAGGAGAGGAAGGCCCTCTATGAGGTGGATTGATTCAGTGACTGGGATAATTGGGATGGGAGTGTCAGAGACAGTGCGATTGGCACAGAACAGAGCAGAGTTTAGGGCTGTTGTACATGGGGTCGCTATGAGTCGCAGGCGACTTGATGGCACATAACAACAACATAACACAACATATATAGTTCTGATAATATCACTTTAGAAGTCAGTGATTTCCACTCTAAGTTATAGAAGCTTACTGTATTTATTTATAATAGACACAGGCTATTTGCTTTAGGCATACACCATATTTAATATTTCAATTAAATTCCATTCCCTTGATTGCTGGAGCCACATCCTCCATTTGCTATAAATTGGCAGGCTGGCCACAGAAGCAAAGGCCACAGAGTGGACAAAGAGCAGATTTAAAAGATTAATCACTTTATACTTTTAAAATGAAGATTATGTGGACCCCAGAAGCTAGAAATAAATAAAAGTTCAAGATTGCTGTTGTTGTTAGGTGCCATCAAGTTTAGCACAACTCATGGTGACCTTATGAACAACAGATGTGAACCCTGTCCTACCCTGGGCCATCCTCATCATTCCTGACACACTTGAGTGCATTAAAACAGTCACTGTGTCAATCCATCTTGTTGAGGGTCAAGGTTAGCAATCATTTTCCTGTGCTTGATTATCGTCAAGGAGCTACTTTATGTTTTTAATGAGGGAAAACTGTCTAAAAGAAAAATATGATTAGGTATTATTTGCATGACAACAGTCCAGAATAAGAGGTGTATAGCAAAGTGGACTGGGGGGGGGGGAAGGGTGGCAGGGAGGGAGCAAATTGTGCAACAATGAAAGAATCTTTTTAAAGAGAAAAGCAAAGTGGAGATGGGGATAGGGAGGAAAATGTGCAACAATGAAGGAATGGAAATCCAAGCTTTCTGTAAACTTTCATTAAACTATCAATAAAAAATGAAATATTTAAAAAAAAACTTTGAGTCTTATTAAGTTATATGAAATCTCTGAACTCCAAAAGCAAAGGAGTGATTCTTTTATGATGCTCATATATTCCCCAAATGCATGTTAAATTACTTTTATTATAAAATTTCAATTGTGCACACTATTTTTAAAAAAACTATCAAGTATATATCACTAAAAAAGATGTAACAAGGAATGTCTCAAGGGGTTCTGAAATCACAACATCTGATAAAATATGAACCTAAGATAATCTGCCTTCTCAAACAGATATTTTTCATGGGCAAGGACTTAATAATCACAAAACAGGGTTGGTGCTAAATAAATGGCTGAATGTCATTCAGCTGAGAGCATCAGAGAAAAGTTATTTAATAAAAAGAGTAACACCATAGCAGCAAATAAGCACTCTGGTGGCAAAGTCTATAGGAAGCTGCATGGCTAACCCAGAGGCCACTGGGAGCTCGTGGGAGGAATATGGGCAGTCTCCCCAGGGCTGTTTACAGACTCAGGAAACCTGCTGGAGAGTCAGCTCTGAGGTGATTCCAACCCAAGAGCAAAGAGAACTTTGTGTTGGCCGCAAAGGTGTCTAAGATATAAACTGGGGCTAGAATGGAAACAATGAACTTGATAGATTAAAATGTAAGAGGATACAAGATTTAGGATATAAATGCAACCTAACTCCAGTTACATAATGCTAAAAGGGCACTGCAAAACTGTGGGATATACTCAAAGGCCTGAAAAGGCTACATTTGAGTTAGTTGAAATACTAAGTATCTCACTGGCAAAAAGTACTTCCTTAAGAAAATACTTAAAAATAGTGAGAAGATTCAAGGACCAAAAGATGAATTTGAAAACATGCTTTAAGAATTCAGAGGACATAGTGGAGTGTACTTGGGGGGTGTGGGGATTGTATACCAATGAAGGAATTTTTCTTTTACTTTTCAAAGAGAAGAGTAAACTGGGAGGGGGG